AGAAAAATCCTAATAAGAAATTAGCCATTCCAAAATAAAATAAATGCAAAAGAAAAATTATAATAATAAAACATGTGATATTAAAAAAATATGAAAAGTAAGCTCAAACTATTTTCATTCATGAAAATTAATTTGATTATCCTGGCAAAAAAGGTGACAGCTCGAATAATTCGTGAATTAATAAACTTTTGCTATTTTTTAAAATTAAATTTATAAACCTGTGAAAGAGTTCTTTCGTAATTTTTATAAATTGAACATTGTCTACTACTACTAATTTCTATATATATATATATAATTGAGACTTAGCTTACGTTTTTAGATCATTAAGTTGGAATTTTCTATTAGTTAAATTTCGTTTATAGTCTCAATTATTATCGTTTTACGAAACGCGCTATAAGTATTAGCTTGAATCGAGTTTTGAGCTGCTTTTCCCTTGATAAATCCGGCTCAAACCTCTAATTGAGCTATTTACCATTTGTTGCAATATTTTGTACATCTAATGTATTTTTCTAATATGTTTAAATTTTACGAAAGTCCTTTTAAAATTATTTGTGAGTTAAAATTTATTATTTTTTTTTCTCAACCCTTTTTGATTTTCATATCATCTCGACTTGTAATTTTAACATTTAGTTTTTACGAGAGATTTTTACGAGAGATGGCTTTTACTACTTTACTGTTTCTAGTCACTGAATGATTTTACATTTTTGCTAAGGAACTATAGAGTCAAATGTATTTTTTAGCATAAGCTTTTAAACGTTCCTCTTACTCCTAATATTTAAAAAAAAACTTTCCAGCTCAATGCGCAAAACTCTTGACCACTATATAAGGTCTCTCTAATTCATGTTGTCTTGCTACTTTTATTAATATATATATATATATATATATAGTGAAATTCAGTATTAAACTTTTTACGAAATTTGAAGTGATTGAATGACCATTTAGACAGTTTAAATTCTTTAAACTGCGTTTTCTCAGCTCGCATTTTTTCGATAAATCGTTTTGCTTAAAGTCCTAAAATTTATACAGATATGGAATAAATTATTTAATATTTTTACTGCATTATTTTTTTTTAAATTATACACTTAATAGAAAAAAAGGATGGGTTTTGCAAAATACTGAAAAAAATTATTGGAAGTAAAAATGTGATTGAGATCATATTTTTTTCAAACTTTTACATAAAAAGGGGCTTTTCCTTTTTTTCTGAGAAAGTAATTCTTTAATTGCAAAATCGATCTTTAAAATTCTGAAGAAAAATAAATAAAATTTAAAAAAACGAATAAAAACATTGAGAAGAAAGACAATTTTATTATTAAATGTTTCTTCAAAAATCTTTAATTTAAAAAAATTACTAGCAAAAATATTTTTTCAGCTAAAAATCTTTTTGTCTTACAAAAGCATTTAATAATACACATAAAAAGTAGATGAATAATCTTAAACAAAAACAGATCATTCAAAAGTTAACGAGTTCTTTTAACTTCATAATGATAATGATTATGAACTGTAAACGCACATTTACAGGTGTGCGGGAGGATTGTATTTTATAACTTGAAAAAGGTATTCATAAACATAAGTTGCTATGATAAAAAGGCTCAAATAACACCAAATTGAAAATAACACGAAACGTGCATTGATGTATACTTGAACTATTTATCAACTTTCATAATACACTAATGACTGTAATATTTTCTGAGTGAAGTTAAGCAAAACTATTACAAAATGGAATCACAAATATGCAAAATGTTTCTTCGAAGACGTGACTGTATAGCGTTTCCATACATCAGGTATTTTTAATTTTCTGAGGGTCGTTGGTAATGTAATAGTCGGAGTTACTAACACATTTCACAGAATTGAAACATTCTTACCTTTTTTGAGAAATAATCCAACACAGTACTCAATAATTATGGATGGAACAGTATTCAGTAGTTATGAATTTAGAAATCTATGACATATTCCTTTACTCTCAAAGTGCTGGGTGGTGAGTAATACTCTATCTCGGATTACCAGACTACGTACATTTATCCTGCATATGAATTTGCAATTCTGTATTCCTTTCTATTAGGCCGTGTAAAGATTTGAGGAAATGAAGATTTATCCTAATTTAAAGCTCGGTAATTCAACGCACCTTAATTCTCATCGCCATGGATTTTCACATGCGACAGAAAACGAAACTAATATTTGTTGCAATTGATAAACCGTCAACAAAAAACCACAAAATGATAAAACCTTTTTCTAAAAATTCTAAAAGGTATTAGAATTTAACAGTCGCCAAAAAAGGTTTTTAAGGTTTTCTACACTCTCGCTGAGTTTTCAGTCTACCACTGTGCTGCTGTACTCGCTCCTGCTAACCCATCTTTAGTCTTTGTTACCTTTATTATCCTTATTACCTTTATTATGGTTTCAGTTATCACGTTTTTTTACTTTTTAAGGGGTCTGGGAGACCGCTCACATCAGATGCGTACCAGTTTTAGTGACGATAGACGTTGTTTACCGGATGCTTGTTTTTCGTAAAAGTGATAAATATGGCTTCAAAGTTGTGTTGCTATTCGGCTAGAGTTGGACATTTTACACTAGTGAGGAAAATAGACACCCACATTGCTATTCCAGTATATGTAAGAAAATATAACATACTATGAGTGCAAGAAAAAAAAAGAAATTTCATATATGCTTTTATTTCAGGAATACAAGATTGCTTATATTACGACAAAACGCATGAGGACTAGCTGCTTAAGCGAAGGGATAGCTTCGATGAGAATCTTTTTAACGAAATTCGGTGTAGAAAAGAGAGTAAAATATAAGAAATTTATTCACGTTACACACGGAGAAAAACAAAAATACGTTCGTGCAACTAAATCTCTTTGCCAATGCTTGAACCTGAGCTAAATAACCACCGTTAGAGTGGCCCTGACGGATATAGTTTTAACTTATAAATTTTAATTTAATTTTGTATTTACTATATTTCATATATAATACTAACAACAACGAAAATAAACTGCGCTTTTATTCCTCAAATTTGTTTTCAAAAAAAATTCACCATGTTTAATTTTGTAGTGGGAAACTTGTAACTACTCCAAAACTCTAAATTAATATATTTTATGCATTGAAATCTGTATTTATACCCACGTTATAATTGCACAAATAAAGAAAAAACTGCAAAGATTGCAAATTTTGAGGAAACCATATTTTAATGTATAAATCAGCACTCATCCAAATATTCTGCTTTATGTTTCAAATAAAAGTAACACCCAATGCTCCTGTTAAAGAAAATTAAATATCCGGCATTAAAATTTAGCATGAAAATCGTAAACCAATTTTGAATGTAACAACTTTCTGCTAGGAATAAATAAATATCTTTGACTGACCAATAATTGAAAAACACAAAATTATTTAGAAAACATTTATTTCTAATTTTCTAAAAGCCTACTTTTCCTTGAAATTGGCGCTTGATCATACTCTAAGCCATTTAAAGTTATTCTAGAGTGCGAAAACTTGCAAATACTTTAAGCTGTAGAAAATAGAAATAGATCCATCACGTTTTACAATTCAAACTTCTCCATGATGTTGAGAAGTGAAACTAATTCAGATGGCTGAAAAGTGAACTGCTACAATTCTTTGTGAATTTAAACTTTTCTAGGATGTTTGAAATGGGAACTGCCCCAAGGGGTTGAGATTCGAAACGCAGAGCAAAATCAATTCTCGGCACATCAAATGGAACTTCGCCAGTGGTCTGCATAACGCCAGAAAAGGAAAGATGAGAGTCCGAGGAATTCAATGATCATCCGAATGGCCAGTTAAATATATTTACATTTTACCTCAAGTAATTCGGCTCGGACGCTAACACTAGTTTATCTTCATAGATGCATCAGCATTTAATCACATGATCATTACTCTTAAGTGAAAAAAACATCTTGAAATGAAAATTTTGAAAATTTTGCAAAGCAAAATGTTTTATTCTTAATAGATATTTGTCCGCAATTACCTGTTTTATTATCATTTCTAATCATAAATTGATCATGCTTAAAGTATTCAAACTTTAATGAAGTAAATGAAGCATGTAATAAAATTAATTTCTGCATTTTTTGCCCAAAGGGACAATTTGCCCAATTAATTCCGCGTTGGCATTTTGGGTCGTCCACTGTAAAAGGGCGCTTTTCAAATTGCTGTCACCAAATATTACAGCCCTGCATTTTATTTAAAGAAATGAAATAATGACGACTCTGTATAAATGTATGTATGTTTCTCTCAACAACTGTACCTGGAGACACACAATTTTGTATAACGTAGTCATCCATTCGAATATGGGCATCTGGAATTTGGAATTTGTTTTTATTATCTATTTCATATTTTGTAAAAAAATTACGGATTTTTTATTAACAAACTCAACGATTTCAAAGCGAACAATCGCAACACTCTACGAGAGAAAAAAACATTTATATCTCCAGCGCTCGAGACTGTGTATCGGAAATTCTAAAGATGTGTTGTTTTTAAATATTTTGTGGTATTGCTGTTGAATTGAATTTCATGGTTTAAGTGCGATTAAGATGATGTACCCTCTCAGCAATTCGGGTCTTGGGATCTGTCCTAAAGACCTGTTTGTTATCAACGGATCCACGCGCAATGCGCTAGAGGAAAACTGTAAAAGTACTCTGTCAATATTTCACTCTCTATGTCAACAAATAAAACTCCATATTTCTCACACAAAATCACAAGCATTAATAATCCACAAACCTGGCCGCAAATTAACAAGAAATCCGATAATAAAGATAGGCAAACAAAACATTAAGTGTGTAAAAACAGTCAAATACCTGGGGCTGACAATAGATCCCAAATTCACATGGATTCCACATCTGCAGGAATAGAGGATCCAAACGTCAAAAATTGCCAAAGCGCTGAAATCGATGAGAGGATATCAATGGGGCCTAAACAAACATATTATGAAGATTCTTCTAAAGAATGTTATCAATAAGATAGTAAACTATGCAGCACCCATATGGACTCTCCCAATGACTGTAAGAAAAGCCAAAATGCTGAACTCGATACAAAGACCATTCTTAATAAATATCACAAGAGCATTTCGCACAACCTCAACGAACGCACTTCAAGTACTTGCGGGAGTACGTCCATTATCCATAGAAGCTGAAATAGATGCCATTGCAACAACAGTCCTACAGCTTAAAAAACCCGCCGAATTCAACGGAATAGTATTCCAACCAGATAAATATGAAACCAAGCCACGTAAATTCCATACCCATCCAGCAATAACACTGGATAATTTGAAATGTAACCTAACCCAAACACCTCCCAACACCACTCTCATTGCCTACACAGATGGATCCAAAATAGACAACAAAGTTGGATGCGGCATGACTATTCGAACTGGAACAGATACCACTACTGAATGGCAAGGGTATCTACGACCGGACAATAACGTATTCCAAGCTGAACTGGCAGCAATAAAACACAGCATAAGCTATCTCCAAGCACGTACCAACGTAATTCATATTATTACCGACAGCCAATCATCAATATATGCAATAAAATCTCCAACTACCACCTCTCCAATAGCACATGAAATTCAAAATATCATCTCATCCAGCAATAAAACTTTTATCCTCACATGGACAAGGGGTCACAGCAACTGCGAGGGCAATGAGAGGGCAGACATCCTTGCAAAACAAGCTGCGATAGAACAGCGAAGTGATCTTATCCGCGTCCCATGGCCCCAATCAGCAATCAAACTAAAGCTGAAACAACTCGCCAACGAGGCTTGGCAAATGGAATGGACGAATGGACATACCGGACGTCGGACACACAGTCTGCTACCCAAGGTTAATGAAGAACGCATAATCTCAAACTGTTTTCTCACACAATTTATCTCCGGTCATGGTTCATTCCCCACATACTTGTGCGAAAGAAATCTCTCTTCAAATGTGTGTGTATGTGCGGAGATGGGCGACCCTGATCACTACATCCTACAATGTCCCCTGACTACAACTTACCATGTGCGCCATCCCACAAACCCCGGAATAGAATTCCTAAGGTTACTAATCAAGCGGAGAAATGTGTATGAGAACCTTCGAAAGTTAATAGACTCACTACACCAATATGGACTCGAGCTGTGCTCCCCAGAATGAGAAACAAGCACAAACCCCCTAACGGCAACGTAATCTCAAAGACTATCTCATAATAACTGTCCTCCAAAAGGACTAGCTATAATGCGAGCTAACAATTTATATTGTACCTGTGCCTGCAGCCACTGGTACTATGCCATTGTGTCACTGGTAAAGTGTTCACATACTCCACAAGAGAAGAAGTCTATCGTCACAGGGGTGCCTACAACTCATCAAATACCACCTTAAACAGGTAATAGAATCTACACCAGGTAGAACGTACCAATTTCACATGTACTGAACAGCTGACCAGTGCATCAAGTGCAATAATTCATCAAAGTACATGTTAAAGTAGCGCACCCATGGACCGCTAAAATCTGAACATTGAACTTGGACCAAATGGAACGCTACCTATTTAATTACCGCAGTACAACATTCAATACATAACTCAAATGTAACACACTAGGTATCATACAGCATATGCTATGCCAAAACCAACAAGCTCTATAATGAACATAACCTCTTGCATTGTAAATAATCTGTAATAGTATGATAATGCTATGTCGTATGAACATAACTTTTTGCATTGTAAATAATCTGTAATAGTATGATAATGCTATGTCCTATGAACATAACTTCTTGCATTGTAAATAATCTGTAATAGTATGATAATGCTATGTCCTATGTGTTGAAGTATGTTGTAACAGTATGTTGCGCTATGTCCTATACGTTGTTAGTGCTATGTCCTATGTTTACTGTAATCAGGTCCCCTGTGAAAATAGGCGGTGCCAAAACCAACAAGCTCTATAATGAACATAACTTCTTGCACTGTAAATAATCTGTAACCATATGTTAATGCTATGTCCTATGTGTCGAAGTATATTGTAACAGTATGATGTTCTATGTCTTATTTGTTGTTAGTACTATGTCCTATGTATACCGTAATCAGGTTCCCTGTGGAAGGGCGGTACGCCAGAGAGGTAGTACATGGGGGCTATACCATTTTTGTCAATGGCGATGGCGTGGTGCCCCCTGTACTTGTTCCTGTCCTGTATTTAAAGAGCCTTTATTAGCTAAATTTACATATTTATTTATTTTGGGATCTATTTTTATAAATTTACATTTATATTATTAAATAAAATAATAAAGCAAATATCGTAAATTATGAGCTAATATAATACCAAGTGACAAAAAATCTTATGGCCGGACAAAGCCGGCCATGGCGCTCAGAAGGTTAATAAATAAATGTGACACACATAATGTTTAAACAACGTCTCTTTGGGCGTAATATAAAATCTGAAAGGGCTTCAGATTTTTTTTTTTTTAATTTTGTATTTTGTTCTAAGTTTAATTTATGCCATGACATTAGTTCTCGAACATTAATCTAAAAATTTCATAGCATTATTTTACCGCTGATATACTATTTACTTCTAGTAATTCAAACGTCCTCACTACGAGTCAGGTTCTTCAACACTTTGTTAAAATACCAGTTGGAATATCACTCATGCTGTTTGTGATGTTGTTATACATATCTTTCAAATTCTAACCGAAGAAAGTGTCCTGTTGAGATTTATGGCACACTGACTGCCAATTTTTCCCCACTTCCTTTTTCAGTGTTTGGTATTCCACTCTATTACAAAGATGAGCTCTTCAATAAAGGTTAAGCACATTTATTTTAAATATGCGATGAAATAAATGCCCAAGTACGTCTTGAATAATTTAGCGCTTTCTGTTTTAAATAAGCACACACATTTCCAATCGATGCCAATTTATAATTAAGTAATACCGTAGCAAATATTTTATCGTTTGGTGTTTCCATTTTCAACAGTTTATTTTAAATAACTAAGATTTTATGTTGTCTGCCTTTAATATCTGAATAAGTGGTAAACAAAGAGCCCTATATAGTAACTATTTACTTATAGTTGTTTCTAGTGTTCAAGCGAAATCTCTTTACACTATAAAATCAAGATGCAATTCCTTTTTAATCTTACTATTTTTATTTCTATTTATTCATTGATTTAAAATTTTAATGGCAAATTCTTCAAAGCGTTAGACTATAATATGAGATTCTCAGATTTCTTTCGTTTCGTTTCTTTTTAGCCCAAAAGAGGCTACTAATCTCAAAATGGGATTTTATCTTTGTTCCCTATAAGACGGCATATCACATTTAAAAGTATTGCCACCAAATATATCACTCTGTATTATTTTTAAAAGAAATAAATAATGAAGATTCTGCATGTATCTATACGTATGTTTTCGTATCGTAAAAAGAAAGACCGTACTTAGAGCCATCAAATTTTGTTTAACAGAAGTTAAGCAAGTTAAGAACATGTTCACCTAGGCTGCCGAGCATAATTTCAAATTTGTTTTATCATTTATTTCATATTTTGTAAAACTTTAATGAATTTTTGATAATTTAACTTTTTACAAGCGAGCAGTGGCAAAAATGTTCCAAATAAAATACATTTATCTCCACAGAAATAAAATACTTTTATTATCCATACTCCAGCCTGTTGCCATTGAGTAAAGCCTAAGATAATTTCAAATTTAATCGGGAAGGTTATTGAGTAATAAAACTAGGAGATTTAAAAGCAATAAACACAGTTCTTAAGTAAACCTTTTTCTACTTTCTAATGTGATTGATTTAAAAAAAAGACATATTAAAATCATAAGCTATCTAATCAGAAATATTCAAAATTTTTATTTGAAATCATTATGTACTTTTCAGTTTTATGATAATTATTAGATCTTTTATCCACAGAATCTTACAGAATTTGTATTCTAGAAAATACTCGCAGGCTTCAGAATTGGCACGCAGTCAACTCGTAATATTATTTGCTTTAATTAAAAATAAAAAATATAAGGTGGGCTCATAGAGTTACCAGACAGATTAAAAGATCAAACGATAAAATAAAAATTGAAAGAATAAATGCATGTTTAGAAAAAGTGACATCTCAACTCTTATTAAAGCCAGTTTAAACTGGTTATTGTGTCATTTGCATATCAAAATGCCGTAATCATTTTCATTTAAAAGTCAAAATAGTCACTTCATTCACTGAGAAGAATGTACAAAAAATTTGCTTCCAGATGAAATAACATTAGAAGATTAAATTTTGTTACAAATTATTAAGTAAATGTGCTACAGAAATGTTACAGATGATTCGAACAATACATGATGACGCATGGCCATCAAGAACACAAGTGTACAAACTGTACAACTACTTTGTAATTGCTCCAGCAAGAACAGGAAATAAATATAAGAAAAAAAGGGTTGAAGATGATATAAAGGTGCCCATTAACTTCAAATGTCAGCGTAGTTTTGTGAATGGTTAGTTCCGATGCCTATAAACGATGACCTGAAAAGATGTTGAAAATAGATCTTTTCTAATGATTATTTTGAAAGAGACAAATTTATCTGACGATTAATAAACCTCTTTCTTTTTTATAAGAAACTGGCCGGTTACTTTATGGGTGTACCTTGCATTTGTGCTTTAATGATTTTTTTTTTTTTTTTTTTTTTTTTTTTTTTTTTTTATACTGTTACCAGATTACGATCTCAAAGTAGTAAAATATTATGAGAATACTCATAACGGTTGTTTACATTTTGAAAGCTTATAAACCTTGTGTGAAAATACTTTTAGCATACTATATATAGCAAAATCTGTATATCTAAAGAAGAAAGTCTGTGTGTTTGTTTGTTCGCTAATAACTCAGTCACTACGATAGCTATCGTCACCAAACTTTATACAATTCTTTTCTGGATTCTGGAAAAGGTCTACGTCCACTTGTTTTCCATTTAAAAAAAAAGCTAAAATCAGAGATATTAATTAAAACGCTAATTTTCTCCCTCATTTTTCCGAGTGGTAACGGTGCTGATATAATGAGAGAGAATTAGTTTATTTTATTTTTCTATCGAAATTTTTATATGGGTTTATATCGCCTCAGACTGAAAAATGCAGGACTATAAATCATATTTTTTGCCCAAAATAAGGATGTATTTGTTTTTATTTTTGCTGACGCAAATGGCAATTCCATAATGCCATATGGGCGTATTTACCATTATGATTCTATGGTTACGTAGTCAATTGTGGTACATGTATTGAATGTTACATTTTTTCTTTGGTATTTTTCTTGCATTACAATGACACGTCATATTCCTTATAGCGTGTAGTATGCTATTGTATATATGAATTGTCAAGTGATATCATGAGTAAAATAATACTATAGTAAAATAATACTCAGTCTAACTTAAATGGGATTGTGTACTTCTGCTAGTTATAAATAAAGATAATGATAAATCACAACAGAATATCATTCAATGGCATTTAATGAGAAAAAATCTACCTCGAGATATCAAATTGGAAATGAGAAAAATATCGTAAATTTTGATATTAAATTCAGTTTCGTCGTGCGAAAGTCAAACATTTTGTACTCTTTACAAAAACAAAGTTTTTATAGCGAGTACAAAATTTTGCTAAATATAAATATAGGAACTTGAGAAAATATAAAAAGTTAGAATTCATAATTTTTAAAGAATTGATTTCTTTAAGTCCGAAATGCAAAATTTTTATAATAAGTAAAGATCAACATTTGCGAAAATAAAGGTGGGTAATGACTTTTGTGACTGTATATATATACGTATGTACAATGTGTATATACCTAAGGGAAAGGTTCTCATTATCCGATGCTCTTTCATTCTTTTGATGATTATTGTTATTTTGTATTCGTATTTTTATTATGTCAACGAAACACATATCACGAATTTATCATAAATAAAGCAGCAAGTACACAGAAGTCTATTTGTTCAGCATTTCTGTACAAAACGACATATTTGCGAAGAATTTCAGATATCTCTTTCTGTTATGTCAAGTTGAATAATAGATGTAGTCTACCAAGGATATCGTATATAAAGAAGAAAATTTTAAAACAATTCAGAACTCAGCCACATCTTTCGAAGACGGCTTCTCATTAATTTTAAGATTATTATAGTCAACAAAACTGCGCCGAACTGAACTACATAAGGT